GGTAGTTAACTGGTTCGTGGGGCGTCTGGGAGCTCTTGCTTGATGCACTTTCCAAATTCACTCTGTTGAGAGTTTGATTATTTTTCAGTAAACTGGGAAAAAGCCGCTGGCCTCCTGGAGACTCCGTGGGATATTCTTCCCAATTAGAAATAGTAAGAAATAACTAGTTTGGAGAAGGCAGTCAGGGAAGGCTGCTCTGAGGAGGTGACCTTCCTTCCCTTCCTCTCCCTTATGTGGTACGGTAGGCAGTGTTACAGTGCAAGTTTCTGTTTTTCTCTCGAAAGGGGAGCTTAGAGACGAATGCTACCGGTGGAGAATAGAAATAACTGGAGATGCCCCAGGCTGGGAGGAGGAGGTGACGACCAAGCTCTTTGTGTGGTTAGCGTAGCATTTCACGGGTGCTGTTGTGAAGAGCGTCACAGATTTTGTGTTTTACACCAACCTTGTGAGATGGTCAGGGCCCACGCAGTCTTCTCCACTTTATAGGTGAGGGAAGGAGCTTGGAGAGATTGTATGGCTGCTCAGAGTTCCAGCAGCAGGAGATGGAGGGCAAGTCTGGACGTCCTGGCTGCCGGCTTTGGGAGCAGGGCCCTCGGGTGTGACCCCTGGCATTGCATTTAGACCCGTGCCTCTTGGTGCTGGCTGTGTGTTGAAATCACCTGAGGAGTTTTAAGAACTACTGACTCCTGGCTTTCACTCCCAGAGATTCTGGTATCATCCATCTGGGTGTGGCTTGGGCGTCAGGAGTTTTAAAAGCTCACCCGGTGATCCCCAGACAGCCTGGAAGGCACTGCTTAGACCCTCAAGGAGCTACTGCCATTAATGAGCATGTCCTGGAGAGAGCCAGCTGGGCAGGGGAGCCAGGATGAGGACCCTACAGCAAAGGCAGCATCCTGTTCTTAATAGAGGTTCAGATCATTAACTGTAACAGCAATAATGGTGAATGCCCTGCACCTAGTCTGTTGCCCTCTGTACTAGCATTTGTGCAGGGTGCTTCCAGCTAGAAATTGGCAAGTGGGGGCCCTTGGGAGAGAGGAGTATGTGACCTCTGGGTCTGTAGTGCCAGAGCCCTTAACCAGCTTGGGGGTGATGCTGGGCTCATGGCAGTTGAGGTGGCTCAGTCACTGAAGAATCTAGGGAAGGTTTTGTTTGTCCAGTGTGGCTTCTGGTGGGTTGTCCACATTTCTGTGGAGACAGAGTAATCACTGTTTCATTTCCCTGGAGGGACTGACCCTCTGTTTCCCCATCCTTGGGGAAAGAATTAACAACTGGGTCAACCACAGCGTTTCTTTTGATGGTTGTGGGTTTGATCTGTGTTCAAGTTCCCCAGACCCTGAGCTGTTCTGATTGACCTTTACTGAGGAAGAATATCCTGTTTCCAGGCTCTCATGACCTGACGGGCTTGCCTGGACCACCCTGGCCAGTCGCTCCAGCAGACGGTAGACCTGCAGCTGTGGCCGAGGTTTTCCATCACAAAGCCAAGGGCCTGTTTTCCTCTCCCCGAGACCCTGGCACTGGGAATCGCACCTTTGGGTTAGGTCCCCCTACGTGCTGCCTGGCCTCACCCCAGGCCTCTCCCTCTGGGACCAGAGAGCCCATCCTGAGATGCTGTGGGATCCAGGGGTGTATCTGAGCCGAGCCTTCGGGGAGGGGGCAGCCGCTGTAAAGGCTTCTTCTGTTTCCTCTCCCTAGCCCTGGAGCAGCTGCTGACAGAGCTGGATGACTTCTTGAAGATTCTTGACCAGGAGAACCTGAGCAGCACAGCTGTGGTGAAGAAGAGCGGCCTGGCCGAGCTCCTCCGGCTCTATACCAAAAGCAGCAGTGAGTGTGGCCCAGGGCCTTAGGAAAGGGGTCCCCGGGGAAACAACCGGAAGGTGTCCTGGCTGCCATGAGAACGCCCCACAGACTGGCTTAAGCAGTGGAACTTAGATTTCTCGCAGTCTGGAGGCTGGAAATCTGAGGTCAAGGTGTAGACAGTTGGTTCCTTCCGAGGCCTCTCTCCTTGAAGAGAGACGGTCTAGATGGTCGCCTTCTCCCTGCGTCTTTGCAATGTCTTTCCTCTGGATGTCTGTGTCCAAATCTCCTCTTATATGGACACCATTCATATGGGATCAGGGCCCACCTCAGTGCCTCATTTAACATTAATTATCTCTTTAAAGACCTCTCTTCCAAATACAGTCACATTTTGAGGTATTCGGGGTCAGGACTTAATTTATGAATTTTGAGCGGGACACAGCTCAGCCCAAAACAGTAGTGCAGGAGTTGGGACGTGAACGGGAACCCAGAAATCTCTCAACACTCAACACAGTAGCCCATGAATGAGGTTTCAGGCAAAGCGTTTTCAAAGCACTTCTCCTTATGGTTGACAGTAGGGAGGTGAAAATAAACTGGTATCATAACAGCTAACACTGCAGTGCACGTGTATTAATGAGCTTCATGTTCAAGACACCCCAGCGAGGCTGGTGCTGTGGCTACAGATGAGGCCTGTAGAGTTTAAATAACTTGCCCAGTGACACACAGCCCAAGGGAAAACAGGAAAACTTCGTTTTAAGACTTTGTACATCATAGAACCCTGAGTTCACTGTTTTTTCTGTCTTTTTAATTGAGCTAGATTTTATACCCAGCCAGGTGCTCAGATCTTAAGTAGTTAATTCAGTGAATTTTGACAGCTGTCCACACCTGTGTACCCACCGCCGAAAATAAGACATAGAACATTTCTGTTGTCCCAGGAAGTTCTTTCTCGCCCCTTCCCAGGGCAAGAGTTCCTCCCTACCCCCACCCCAAGGCAGCCACTGTTCTGATTTCTCCCACCACAGATTAGCATTGCTCAGCCTAGAGCTTCATGTAAATGGAATCATACGGTTTGTGCTTTCTGTCTGGCCGCTACCAGGAGGTTTTTCCATCTTGTGGATCGTACCAGGAGTTCCTTTTATTGCTGAAATGTATTCCATTCTGCAAGGAGACCGCAGTCTGCTTCTCCATCTACTTGCTGATGGGCATTGGGGTTGTTTGCAGATCTGGGCTATTATGAATAATAAGGCTGCTTTGCACATCCTTGTATAAGACTCCTTGTGGACATATGGCTTCATTTCTAGCCCAAACTTTGTTTTTTTTTTTAAAAGAAAAGCCTTCTTGTGAAGTCGTAACAGTTTAGGAGAGTTTATTTTTATATCGGATGTTTGAGGATTCAAAATGATATTTTGGGACAGTAGGGACCCTAAGAGGGCATCTCGCCCAGCTGCCTCGCAGTAGGAACAGCCCAAACCCGTGCCAGGAGAAGGAAGTGCACCTGCTTTGGCCATCACGGTCAGGAAATCCCCCTGCTGACCAACCTGCATCTCCTGGGCTGCATTTCAAAGTCCCTTTTCCTTTTCTTTGTCCCATGTAGAATTAGTCTCTATTGTCTGATTATCAGAGAAGTCATAAAGCTGGAGCGTGTTGCTTTATGCCCAGTGGCCTTCAGTTCGGGCAGAATAATCCAGCCCCCTTAGCCTTTCATCAGAGGCGGTTTCCCTGAGCCCCTTCGTTGCCTTTGCGGCTCCCCAGGCCCCTCCCTGGTTCCCAGGCTCCTCCTGGCTTTGTAGTGAGTGTCTGCTGCCCTGCCCTGAGTGCTGGTCAGCAGCACATCAAAGGTGGGAAGGGCACGTGGGAAATCCACATCACAGGGCAGGTAGGTGAGGGAGGGATGAATCACTCCACAGAAGGATTCATCGGTGGAATCCTTTCAAAAGCACACTCCCAGACCATTTAGATGTGCTCCGACTTGAAAATGTTTAATGATAAAGAGCTCCTCTGTTGGAAATTAAAAAAAGCACCCCTGTGATCGGTCTGACCCGTTGTCCTCGGTTCTCACCACTGCATCAGAGCCACCTGTGTGGGGTCCCCTTTTTGGTCTAGCTCTAGCTTGCTACAGGATGACCTTTGTTTCACCCCTGGTCTTGGTATGTTCCGCTTTTATAAAGGCAGACCTTTCCCACCCTTGGCCTCTGCAGTTTGTAGGGCTGTGGGAGCTGCTGAGAGCCGGTCAGGGGGCTCCACAGTGTGAATCGCCCCCCAGGGCGCACCCAGACCACTGATGATTGTGCACAGCCGTGCGGAGGCCATCGGCTGTCACTTCTGCCCTCCAGGTTGAGGCCCGGGGGGATCAGCCACCGTGTGAGGACTCCCCTCTCTGGCCCCCTTGGCCTCTCTTCGATGGCAGAGTGCTGGTAACAGCAGCTGGCCTTTTTCGTGCACTTAGCACTTCCCCGCCCGTCCTGGTGTATGAAATGGCTTGGACTGTGTCACCTCACCCACATGCCGAGGTCGTGGGGGAGTTACTGTTTTCCCCATCACCAGCAAGGGAACTGAGGCTCGGAAAGTCACCTGTTCAAGGCACGTGGCCGGGAGCGGCAGAGCCCAGGGGACCTAACCCTTCTAACTCCCCTCATCTCTCCAGGTTCCAGGTTAGTCTGCGCCAGGTTAATCACTATGCTGCACCGGATACAAGCCAAAGCCCCTAAGATTTAACCTCCCAGGCCTACCTCACTGTGTATCGTCCAGAAAATTAACTCAGCCTGACTGGACTTGTAGGGGGAGGCAGGCTGATCATTTTGAGATAGGCTTGGTCTCCACTGGCTGGGCCGCTGTTTGCTCCCACACATTTGGGGTAGAGTATGAATGTGTATGTGTGACTGTGTATGTGAGACTGTGTGTGTGTGCGTGACTGTGTGTGTGCGCGCGTGTACTTTTCAAATGCAATTGTCCATTTTCTGATCTTTGTTGTATTGCTGAATCTTCTCCTCTCTTGGTCTTCCGTCTAGACAGTGAAGTTGAGGCACAGATTGAGGTCTGTTTATTGGAGGCCTACTATTTGTTTCTGTCTTAACCCCGAGGGCCCCCCATCCCCTGCTCAGAGACTCTGGGAACATTTCTGGGGCTGCCCCTGTGATAGGAAACGCTTCAAATGTTCTGTCTATCCAACGTGTCCCTCCCCCGTGCCCCTCACCACCAGCCTCTTCAGACACGGGGTCGTTCCCCCAGGATCCACACACTCGCTCAGAGCACAAGGAGCTCCCCTTCCTACCACACCTGTGCAACCACCCCATCCATGTCTGCCTACCCCCCTCCCCCAATACGGTGGGTTCATGAAGGCAGAGACCACGTCTGTTTTGTTCTCTGCTGTATCCCCAGCGCCTAGCACAGTGCTGGTGCTTACTGCACTTCTGAAAATGAATCAGGGAACGATAGAAAGTTCTCCCACCCAAGGCTGCTGCTTCCTAGACATGAGACAGCTCATCAGCCTCCCCTTTCCAGGGCCAAGTTCACAGGATTACAGTCCTGGGAGCCTCTTACTTACCAGCTGGATGGTAGTGGATTAGCAACACTGAGAATCGAGACCTAGTCAAGCAGAGCCTGAAGAGTGTCCGAGGAGGGAGGCGTGGCCTCGGAACCCGCCAGAGCCAGTTTTCTCTGCAATTTACAAATCGCCGTCTTGGGGAGGAAGCACCTGCTCAGAATCTAACAGTTAAAACAGTAACAGCAATATGTTGCCTTTTTTCCCTTTTGCACCGAAGTGTAGGTTTAGTCAATAATATGAAGAAAGAAATGAACACTGAACACTATTTACGTTTCTTCAATTCCTTTTTTGATCTTTATTTGTCATCAGAATATTTTCATGTACCTGTGGTTTGTTTGCCTCTGTATTCTGCTTTGCATTATTTTTACATTGAGAATTACTACCTGTGCACATTTCCATGTGTTGACAGTTCACATGCTTTTTTTTTGCTTTTTTGAAACATGATCCTTAAAACTGTAAGTTTTAGATATTTCTGTAAAACAGCAGACGTAGAGCTACTTTGTTATTTTTCACAGTTGGATAGTGTTCACTGATGAATGAACACTAATGCTCAACTAACCCCCTATTATTAGTGGGCATTTAAGTTTTGTTCTTTACAAAAAAACCCTCAAAATATTACAGTTAAACATCCTCAAAGAAAATTTTGTTTGCCTGCTGGAGTTTATCTTCAGGGTAGTTTTCTGGCAGGGGAAATGCTAGGTTAAAGAATATGAACACTTTAAAATGAAACTATCCTCCAAAATCACTTCCAAAATAGTTGTGCCAATTTACACACTAGAGTAGTCGTTTATTTTTAAAGTCGACCTGTCACCCACGTTGATGGGCCATGGTGTATGTATTTCACCATTTTCCTACTATTGAGCCTCTGAGTTGCTTCCCATGTTTTAGGCTGTCATTTTCAAACTTTGCTAGTTATAAGACCACCTTACTTTTTCAAATTCCCTAATATTTGAGTTTTACATCATCAAAAACTTCAATTAGGTAGAAATAGGCACTGTTTCATCACAGTTATTTTGTATTCTGTGCAGACAAGGAAACCAAGGCATGTGGCTTAGGTGTTTTGCTCATAATTACTGTTAACAGCAGAGCTTGGCTGAGACCCCCTCCACCCCCCACCCCATCTCCCGCCTCCCTCTGCAGAGTGCGTTCTCCCCCCACCCCGTGCCATGCTCTGGAGAAGGTGCTGATCCAGGCCCTCTGGGCCCCAGTCAGTGGATGAATACAAGCTGCAGCTAACTGGCTAACTATGTTTAGACCTCACATTCCCTTCCTCTAAGCGGCTGCAGCCTTTGGTAAAGGGGTGACATTGCTGACAGGTCCTGGCAGGGCTGCGCACTGGGGCAGCGATCTCACAGGCTGATGGAGGAAGATCCACCCAGCCGTATCCTCCTCCTGTTCCTCTGGGCCCTCGCGGCTCCCTTGATGCAGGCCTCTTGGCCAGAGTCTGGGCGGTCTGTGGTGTGGAACTGACTAGTGCTGAACTGCCTCCTTCGCCAGGAGTTTGAATTGGGCTCCTTGGCTGGGTAACACCGACTCCAGCCACTGGAATTGATCAGCCGCAAGTTTCTAGGAAATGCAAATTAAGGACCTCAGAAGAAGTACAGGAGGATTTCTAAGAGGAGAAGCACTAGGAAGCACTAGTTTGTCTGCAGGCTTCTGAAGAAAGGGTCCTTGGGGCATTTGGAGCCGTGTTAGAAAGGCTAGTCAGACCAGCTTTTCTCTGCCTAGACATGCACAGGAAAGTGACAACCTGTACAGAAATGTTTTTAAAGGAGAGGAAGGGCTGGGCTGCTACAGGGTAGAGCAGGTAGCTGCTGGTGCTCCAGGTGCAATTCCCAGCACACTTACCCCTCCAAACCAGAGCTCAGGCCTGCACAGTGGCACTCCACCTAGAGGACTGGGAGCTAAACTTCCAGATCCTCAACGTGACCTGTCTTATGTAGCCATCACTCTGATTAGCCCATGCAGGTAATTCAGACTAGGGTGAGAATGACTGATAGAAGTGTTTTACAATTTAAATGAAATGCTAGGAAAACCCAGAGAAATCTCTGCTTGGTGAAATATGAGGCAGCTCTTTGAGGTATGGGTGCTTTTCCACTTAAGACTTTTATTCCTAAGTTATTCTTCTGTACCCTCTCCTACCCTCCCCTCCCCCCAGGCTAGAAAACTAACAGTCAGAAACTTGACATTTCTTATTTTGGACATCTGTTAGTTCTTTCTACAGTGACTCAATGAAGTCTAAATATTGTATGCCTTTACAGGAATCCCAGTGGATGACAATGTCTCTGAGGGGCGGGGGAACACTGTTTCTCTCCAGAAGCCCTTTCCCTTCATGAAATCACGTGAAGCCTGTGTTTTCCATCTTCCTTCTGTAGGTTCTGATGAGGAGTACATTTATATGAACAAAGTGACCGTCCACAAGCAACAGGATGCCGAGTCCCAAGACAAAGGTACAGGGCTACTGCTGAGGGCATGGCCAGCACCCGGGTAGGGGGCAGGTATAAGCCTTGGTCCCATCCCACCCCTCCTTGCTCCCAGCCAGCACCACAGACAGGCCTGGTGGAGTTATTTTTGGAAGTCATATTTTGGTTGATGGTATTTTGGGGTTGATGTATTTTGGGATGTTTCATCAGGCCTCCTCCTTGCCTCTTAAAGGTCTCCCGTTCCCTTCATGGATAAGGAATCTGTCCCTAAAATCTCTCAGCATTTCCCAGCATCATCCCAGGAATAGGAAGTTATAATTCAGATGTACTAAGAAAGCAGCTATATATGGTGCTGATTCCACAGCCCCAGCTTTATGTCTTTTTGATAGAAGTCTGGATTTTATGTGTAGTGGCGGGGCGGGGAGGGGGGGTGGTATAGAGGTGATGGGGAGGAAATGGTGATGTCAACAGCTGCCTTAACATTCAAAGGTTTTGTTCAAAGGTGATCTCTTGGCAGAACATTTTATCTTCCATTGGAAGAACATACTGTCTTTCATGGTGTCTTCTGTCGTGTTCTGCTTTCCTCTGAAAAGCCCTCGGGAGTAGGTTTAGCAGGACCTCAGGGAGGCCCAGAGGTTTGTGAGCTGCCCAGTTGCAGAGGAGAGGGGGTTAGAAGCCCCCTCTCCTAGCTCTCAAGCCTGCGACTCAAATGCAGAGGCTTAGTGAGAGGTGGGAACACAGCGCTCCAAGGCTTTCAGTCCTGTTAAAGGTTTCACAACGTCAGCCACTGAAGCTCCAAGGCCAGATCTGCCCAAGCCTGCCTGTCGCGGGCTGTTTAGGCCACGGGCTGAAGTGGTCAGGCTCAGAAGAGCCTTTGGTGCCTTTTCCTTAACAGCACACGGAGGGTCAGTGGCCAAGTTCCCTTTGTGGCTCTTCCACCTCCTGCCCCGCCACCAAGCCTGGACCCAGCAGAAGTCCCCCTGCAGGAAAGCAGCCACTGTGCCCGAGGTTGTTTGCCTTCCGGGGAAACTGTGGGGTGGACAGAGGTAATCACAGGGTCGGTCCTGAGAGCAGCTCAATATAGTGACCCCGGGCAGCTCCTCTGCTCGCTCAAGCTCTGTGGCTAGATCGTTTTGGACACAGGGCAGGTGGAGGAGAGGGTGTGGAGCCTGCCAGAAACCTCAAACCAGTTCCTTTGGAGGAATCTGCCTGTGGCAGGTCTACCCTATTCTTGGAGGAAAAACAGCACTGGCCGCAGGGACGGCCTGCCTGGGTAATTAACACCTGCTGAAATAGAAACACCAGGCTCGGTGACCTGGCATTCCTGGATAATGAGCCTCTGCCGTGAGGCTGGGCGCCCCTCACTGAAGCCTTCTCCTGCTTGCTGCCCACAGCACCCGAGGAGCAGAACCCACTGACCAACGGGGAGCCCGGCCAGCACTCCTTGGCCCCTCAAAAGAGCCTTCCAGACCTCCCGCCACCCAAGATGGTAAGTGTGAGTCCAGGAAACCCCTCATTTCCCTGATGTGGGCCCTCTGCACTTCCATTTGTCCCCACAGATGTCAGCCCACCAGGCTTCTAGCATTTCCAGAGCACCTCCTGTGTGGGGGACCTGGGGCAAGGCACCGGGAGGGACAGAGACAAGTAAGCCTGCCTGCAGGTGACATCATTTGCTCAGTGCAAAGAGGAGTGGCCGTGGGAGATGAGGGGCCTCCTTTATCAAGTGCCACCATGTGTCCAAGGCTATGCCATGCTCTCCCAGCACCCTGTGAGTAGGGTCCTGTACAGCTGTGGTCACCAGCTCAGGCCATAGTATCTTTCCAATATGTAAATCACATCACCCTGCACTTCCTGCCTGAAACCCACCAAGAGCTCTCACTGAACGTGGGGGAAAACATTCAGAGTCCTTCACGTGGCCCCAGGTCCTACACAGTCCAGCCCAGCTGCATCTCCAGCCTCATCGCATCTGCTCGTTACTGACCTCCCTTCTGTCCCTGGATTGTGCCACACGGGCAGTCCTGCCTCAGGGCCTTTGCACTTCCTGGGCCCTGGGTTTTCAATGGCTGTTGCCTCCTCATCTCTCAGACATCCTTAGACAGACTTTCCCTGGCCTGCCCTTGTGAGGGATCCCACCTCTGTGCCTGCCCCAGATACTGTCGGCCCCACTGCCCGGTTACCCCCTCTAGGTTTATTATCTGCCTCCTGGATCAGATGTAAGCTTCCTGGAGCAGGGATTGTGTCTCTCGTTTGCTGCTTCCTGTCCTGTATCTGCACATAGTAGGCCACACACACATATATGTTCATGGACAGCTGGATGGGATTATGGAATCCTGCAGACCTGGGTTCAGATCCCAGCTCTGCCAGGTACTAGCTCCTTTGTCACCTTGAGCAAGTTATTTAGGGTGTCTGGCCTTTTGTTTCCTGGTGTGAAAGGAACGTGAGCATCTGTCTCCTACGATCGATTGTCTTGTTCAGTGGACCGAGGCTGGGCGTGGCAGACTATGTTAAGTATTCAGGGAGGTGAGGGGTAGCATTTACATTTTATGGGTGAGGATCTGGGAATCAGCAGGTTTACAATGTCCCGGTGTCACACAACCTTGAAGTGGCAGAGGCAGAATTTGAAACCAAGTTCTTTCCACTATCAGATCTGGCTGGGGAGGCTTCTTAGAAAAGGTGTGAGGCAGGAGCTGGGAAGGGTTTCTAGAAGGACAGTGGGACCATAGGACTCCATGGTCACTGAGCTCATACCAAGCCATCCTTCACCAGACCCCACACCGGCCCCTTCACTCATGCCTTCCTGGGAGCAGCAGGGTTCTTCACAGCTGGCAGGGCAGGTCTGGGGTGCCTGGGCATCCCACCACGGGAGGCCCCTCGAGTGGGCGACAGCTGGGGAGCACCCTTTATCTCAGGCTGAGTCAGATCTGACGGACTGAGCCTGAGTCCCTGTGTACCCATTATGCCGGTGACTGCCAGGCTCTGCCCACCCCGTGCACACAAACACGGTCCTCCCACCACCTGTCACGTGCTATGTCTTTTGTCAGTTTTTTTTCATATGAAGACACAGAGGCTCAGAGAGTTAGAACAATTGGCCAAGGTGCCACCACTGGGTGGTAGCAGGGCCAGGATTCATAAGCAGCTTTTTGGTTTCCAGGCTGCTCTGCAGCCTCCCAGACTTCAGCTTGTCTTTTTAGCAGAGTAAAGGTACAAGTTTGTCCCTTCTAGCTGCAGACTCCCCTCCCCTTCAGCACTAGGACTTGGGGGAGGGGGCACGGCCCTCAGCTCCCATCCGACTGCAGCCGGTGTTCAGCTGGTGGGAGGTGCTGTGTCTTCAGCACCACTCACTGGGTGGCTGGGGAGGGAAGGTGGCTGCTCTGAGCCAGGGCTGGAACTTCCTTATCTTGAATTCAGTGTCTGGTTCTGACCAAGGTGCCTTTGGCTTTGGTGCAGTGGGAATGACACTGCCCGCCCCACCTGGGGCAGCTGCTTACGGGTCACACCTGGCAGAGGGGCATTCACCAGGCAGAGTCTCCCAGGCACTGACTTGCTTTGGATGTCGGGGTTTTACAAACGTGGGTGGTGGACTGGGGGGGCCTGGGGCCTGGGGCCGGGTTGTGGTTGTAGACTGATCAGGTCACAAAGTCCTGGAAGCCCCGGGACTCTGGCTGGCTCTTACTGCTCCCTCGCCAGGCTCCTGTGAACTGGGTACAGAGGCCCCAAGGGATCCGGTATGTGAGACGCAGGGCACGTGAGGGCAGGGCTGTCCCCGAGGGCGGACTCCCCGTGTCAGCTGTGTCTGCTGGCCGTCGGGGCCTGGAGAGGCTTGAGAGGAACCTGGTGCTGGAACTGGGTAAGTACCACCCAGGAACCCCACAGTCCTGGGGCGGCCTCGCAGATGTGTGGTGATGGTTCCTGTGGACACACTCCAGGCCCTGGGGAGACTCCAGCAGAGCGAGCGGACTTTGTGGTCTCCCTTCCTGGTGGAATTTCTCTGCTGAGAAGGACCTTCTCTAGGTCCCTCCTAGTTCTGTCCCGGGCGCCTACCCTCAGCCCAGGGGCCTTCCAGATGTGGAGTGAGGAAGGGAGGCGCGTATCCCGGGGTGCTCCCCTCCCTGCCCACATGCACACGCATCTGCTCCCCCTCGGGCCTCCTCTCTGGTCAAGTCTGGCCGAAGCAGCTGTAGCTCTTAGTCCAAGACCCCTAGAGGAGTGACGTCAGGGCAGAGGGGGAACCAGCTGTGTCATCTGGCTCTTTCCAGGAGGAGAACCAGAGCAGCAAATAGTTTGGCGGGGAGGGAGGGAGCATGGCAGCCTGAGGTGACCCTGAGACCTTTCTCCCTCAGACAGAGACCCGTATCCCTTCCCACCCTGACCCCAGAGCTTCAGGGCACCACTGTGGCTCATCACTGAACGCCTGGCCCGAGGCTTGCTGGTGGCTGTGGCAGAGCTGGGTGCCTGCCTGGGGTCCTCAGTGCCCAGGGCTAGGCCAAGAGTGTGGCCTCTGTCCCAGGCTCAGTCCTGTCCAGCACGGGAAGGGGCAGCCAGGGGTCAGGAGCAACCTCATGGGTGTGGCCAGTGACTCAGGCAGCTGAGGCCCTTCCAGACTGCGGTCTGCACAGCCAGGTGCTGTGGTCGCCATAGGGAAACAGATGCTTGCTGGCAGCATTCTGCTGCTGGCTCACACAGCCGTCTCCACCCCACCTCCCCTTTGAGGCCTGAACACGCGCTGGGCTTCAGTGAGCTGATCTAGGGGAAAGCAGCTGACTCCACTGAAGACGGTTACCCTGGTGGGTCTGGGGAGCCGGGGCTGGATCCACTAACCCCCTCCAGGGACCTTCTACGGTGCACTCTGGGGTGGGTTGTTCAGTACTGCAAGGATGCCTCAGGTCACCTTGCCACCCGTCATCCCCAGCTCTCACGTCTAATCGGAATCAGAATTGGTAAGCACCGCCCCTGACCGAATCTCTGCACCACCTGCTTTTGCAAATAACGTTTTGTTGGAATACTGTCAAGCTTGTTCACTTGTGTGTTATTTATAGGTGCTTTTGCACGACAACAGCAGGGCTGAGATCAGAGACGTCAAATCCTCAAATGGTCTGCAAATCCCTAAGTACTGACTCTTGGCTCTTTACAGAGAATTTGCTGACCTCTGGCAAATCATGCTGAGCAGGGTGGCTTTCTCCCCTGCCCCTTCCTGTGAACCCTCAGAACATGATTTCCGGTTTTGAAGTCCCATCTCTTCCGCAGCTTCATTGAACGTGTACCACCTTCATCATCACAACGATGCTGCTAATGAAAATAATAGTCTTTTCTTCTGAATCTCGAGAGTTTAGGATTGCTTGCTCCTTTGACCTCTGATAACAGGCCATTGTGTCTGTGTAATTACGTGTTTCTCCTCTAACCTTGAATCCTCAAAATAGCCCCAGTGCTGTTCCTATTTCACAGAGAGGGAAAGTGAGGCCCAGAAAGGCTATCGCCTACCCATGGCTAAGTCTGTGCATCCCTAAAGCCCAGATTCAGACGTAGCTACATCCTCTCTAAAAGCCAGATAAGTGGATCTAGACGCCAGGCCACAGAAGACATGGCTGTGGGGAGCCTGGTTTTGGTGAAGCCCTGCAGGAGATTATTCTGCCCTGAGGGCAGCTGGGAGTAGACACCCGTGTGGCCCTTGCTGAGTACTGACTGTCCCATGGGGACCTGAACCCAGGCTGACTGCCTCCCACCATCTCCTGGGCCAGGACCAGGGAAGCTCCCTCGGTCACAGGTTCCCCAGATAAGCTCATACTCAAGGCAAAGGTTTCTAGATCCCTCCCCTTCTCCTGTCCATCTTCCTGGTAGGGTAGGGAATCCCCAGCCGCCCAGGGGTCTGTCTGAGCCAAGGGCCTTGCCTCTTCTATGCTTGGCGCTCCCTGGGGAGGCCCAGGCCTGCTTCTGTGCGACATCCAGCACGACGACTTCTCAGAACCCGGAGTGGGAATGCACATCAGCTTTTACCGTTTCTGTTCTCAACTCACTAGGAACATTCTCCTGGGCCTCCTTAGGGGCTTCCTGATGCAGAAGGACATGGGAGACCTGCGAGGATGGCTGCTTCCACATTTATGCCCTATGTATCGTCATATTCATGCCACAGTTGACCTCTTTTTTCTCCCTTGCTATTGCTTATAAGATGACCTTCAGAATCTAGCGCCCATTTTACAGGCAGAATTAGGGAGGAGAACGATTTCATGCTCCGTGCTTCTCTGTGGTTGCCCGTGGGCTTTTTTTCATTCTACTCAAATTGTGCTCACTCACCCTCCTAAGAAACCTAAGAAGCTCCAGGTTGTCTTTGAGACTCAGCTCAAAGATCCTGTCCCCTGAGCATCTTTCCTTGAACCAGAATGTTCCTCACACCCTCCGGGTGTGTGGGGTCTGGACCTCGTCCGTTACAGTGCCATCCACAACGCCCTCTCTCAGGAGCTGTGAGTTTCACTGCCTGGTTAAGTCTCTCTCAGGACTGACTCTTGACCACTTGAAGGTTTCCCTCAGCCTGTCCATGGGAGCCATCCAGTATCTGCCTAACAAATGATTGAACTTATTATAGGAGAAGTTTGGAATTTAGAAATCTGGTCCTCTTTCTCTGTGTGCCTCTGATTAGCCCTTGTCTTTGTAGAAAGGATATTCTCTTTAGAAGCCATAATGGCCACCATGACAGCCTGACACCCCCTCAACTTTTAAGTGCGTTACGTTATATGTACAACAATATTGTGTGTGTGTGTGGAGTCTGAGCCTCATTTTGTGGAGGAGGAAGCTGACGCTCGGTGAGGTTAAGCAACGCACCCACAGGCCTTCAGCTGGATGCAAACCAAACAGCGGATGGGGTGGCTGATGGAGTCATGGTAACCTGTGTTCTCCCTCCCGGCTTGCTTGAGGTCCAAGCTGGGTATTTTTGTCTTCTGTTTCCTTCTCTTCCCACCCAAAGGGTTAATTCCAAGTTGTTCCCAGTATATCACATCTGAAAATGTTTGTTTTATTTGTTCATACCGCAGATTCCAGAGCGGAAACAGCTTTCCATCCCAAGGATCGAGTCTCCAGAGGGTTACTATGAAGAGGCTGAACCCTATGACACATCTCTCAATGGTACATCCTGGGGCGGGGCTTGGAGGGGTCTAACCCCGTCCTGCGCTGATGCCGGCGCCAGGCCCTCTGCTGGTGACTGGCACGCTTACCCTGGCTGGAGACATGGGGCAGTCTGGGCTGCCCTTACCAGAGAGTGTGGCCCGAATTGAGAACCAGCACAGAGCATTTGGCCTCTGTCTGATGGGGAGCTGATGGGGTACTGCAGACCCAGCCCACCTGCAAGGAGGGGCTCCGGCTGGTCCAAGGTGCGCTGGTTTACTGTGTCTGATGCTTTCTGTGGTCCCGCCTGGATGTTGCTGGATTCAGCACAGAAATGTGACAGAGGAGAGGTGTGTTGGCCCAGAGGCACGAGGCCTCGGAAGCAATGCAAACGTGGACAGGCTGAGCCAAAGCCCAGCTTCCCGGTTCTTTCACTGGACTAATGGTCAGTGTGCTCCCAAGCACGCTTCTAGGAGTCAGGAACTCGGCAGTGCTGAGGAGTCAGCGGGACTCGGTGGTCACAGCACTCAGATTCGGTGAGAGAAGACAGACGAGAATTAAGTGTAGGATGTGTTGGGTGGTGACAAGTGTTAGGATGGAAAGCCGCAGGGGCCGGGTTGGGGTGGGCTGGGGGTGTTATTTTAGATTGGTGGGGGTGCCTCTCTGGCAACGCGACCTTGGGTGGATTCCTGAATGAAGAGGGAAGTGAGTGGGGCCGATACCTATGGGAAGAACTTTCCAGACAGAGAGCACAGTACATTCAAGAGCCCTGAGGCAGGCGAGCCCTTGGCATGATTAGGGGCCAGTGTGGCAGGAGCAGGTGGGGTTGGCGGGGAGAGAGAGGAGATGGGGGCATAGGAGGCAGCTGCAGGCCTTGGTGGGGACTTCGGCTTTTCTCTGAACAGACCTTTTTCCAACCTTTGGAGGGTTACCTAGTGACCGACCTAACTTAGGTATTAAAAAGATGGCCTGTGCTATGGGGGCAGGGCTCACACTGGAGCTGTCTGTTCTCTGCCTGGTGACGTTGGAAATGCTCTTGCCGTGGGGATTCCATAGCACAGAAAGGCCTCGCAGGTTCTGGAAGAAAGAGTTGGTTGTGACGCTGCTCTCCCGGGCAGCTAGACTCTGGTCCTCTCCCTCTTTCTTACCTCCTTCTCTTTCCTTCGTTCGTAAGGGAAAGGTCTTTGACAGTATAAGGCAATTTGCGGATGTAAGCGGTAAGGGTCCCTGGTGGTGGGAATGAACTTGGCTGAAGGGGGCCTTGCTGGCTCCATAAAGAACTGGACCAGGGATAAGATGGGACCAGCCACTTGGAGTCACACGGGATTCTTGTCCTCTTTCTTCACACTTGACCTACAGTCTGTGGTCCCAGGAGCTGTGTGGGAGGTGAGGGCCTCTTGGTCTGAGGGTATTTTATTCTAAGAGGCTGGCTTTGCGGGCAGACGTCGGCTTGCTTGTGAGGTGTTGCCCGGTCACCGACTGGACTGATTTCAGACCAGAACTGAGAGCGAGGTGGGGTTGTCTGGGTGCGTCTGGAAGGTGGGAGCACTGACTCACCCCAGCGAGCACCTCCATGCATCCTTAAGCCCACCGCTCTGGGGTGTGGCCCGTGCCCGCCGGGGCCTGCCTCCCGGACGCTCCCAGGGGCCAGTTTGTGGGGCAGACACTTCATCTCGACACAAACAAGTGGTCACAAGGATCCTGGTGTTTGTCTCTCAACTGTGAGCGCAAATGAATTTTATCCAAGACTGAGAGGTCATCACAAGGTCATGTGGCAAGGCGGGTGGGAAGATGCCCAGTTGCCTTTTCTCTCCTGCCAGTGCCGAGGATGAACTAGGGGGAGCTGGCCACATTTGCCACAAAGAGGGGGCTTCCCCCGCAGTCCAAGCTGGCCTGCCTTCGGTTCCCGTCGCCCCCCACGCACCAGAAGGAATGACCGTTGGGTTCCTGCCCCTTCCTCTGGTTCTTTGACCAACAGCGACTTTGCTGACTTCCTGGAAAAGACCAGTTGCTTGACTTCTTGGCCTATTTTCTCAGCACTGTCCCCACACTGCTCCACTGGGTCAGGGTCCCCTCTCTGAACAAAAGTGTAGTAAGTGCCCTGACGGCCTGCGCAGGGGATAGTAGGTGCAGCCAGTCATTGATGAAGTCTCCTGCTGGGGTACAGCCCGCTTCCGGTTCATAGTCACCCAGCGCACGTCTGTTTCTCACTCACAGAGTGTTCAGCGGGCGTTACTGGTCCGCAGGTAGTTGAGATACCCAGGCTCCTTCCAGCCTGGGCTCAGCCACCCTCCTAGGCCACAGCATCCTCTGTAATGAGAGAGTAGAGAAGCCTCCTCGTGCTTCTTAAAGGTACCAGCCAGAGTGATGCCCAGTGCCTCTACCCACATTCCACTGGTGATAGGAGGTCACACCTCTGGATGGGAAGGGGCTGAGAATCATGTCCTTGGCCAGGCGGGGACCTCCCCTGACAGCCCCCCACCTCTGATGGGAAAGCACGAACTTCGGGTGGGCAGGCAGCCACGCCGGCACGTCTCTCGGTGTCTCTGCTTCTGGGTCTGTCCCTCTCTTCATCTTGTCTCTCTTCCTCTTGCCTTTATGCTTCTGGATACCACACAGGTCATTCTGGCCGATTTCCCCGCAGTGGAGTCCCCCGATGGGTGCAGGTGCCTGAAGGAGTCATTTACGCCACGATCACCTTGGGTACTGCTCGTCCCAGAGCTGGGATGCCAGTGATGCTGTGCTGCTGCCTGGCACTCAGGGGCAGGGCCTATGTCCCGGGGGTGGCTGCCACCCGCTTCCCTCCCCTGTGCATGGGACCTGCACGTGCACGCCGTGTGTCATCCTTCCACAGACCCCCGCCTGTGGCAGCCGAACAGACAGCTAAAGGATGCAGAGCGTGGTGTGGCTGTGCTCTCTTCCTGAGGACATACCCCAGGACACAGTGGGTGCTGTTCCCCCTTGTGGGGGCAGCACAAAGGGGGATGGGATTATCTGAGCCTCCTGCCTGTCACTCCTGTTCATCCTGCGACCTCTAGAAGCCAAGTGTCTGTTTAAGAATATTCTACACTTATGGGTGTGCTGTGATGCCTCACAGAGATCAAATCGTTGGTACATTTGCCCTAAATTTTCTCCACGCTGCTTCAGGTAGCTGGAGGTACTGTGATTTGCTGTTTCTTCTCAGCTTCCCCATCCCCCTGGAGGCAGATGGATAGAAGTTAGAATTCTCCGTGGAGCATGTGGGGCAACCCCAGAAGCACAAAACAGCAGGGGGATTTGGCCAGCTCATCACACGAAACTCGGCAGCCTCGCCCGTCAGTCTTTGTTACTGAAGGGTTTATCCCAACGATTTTGCATCATTCTTACTTCACTTACCGTACAGCTAATGCAGTGCTGACAAGGAGGACTTTTTTTTCACAAAATCACCCTGATCCTACTGCCAAGCAAATCAACTATTTTTTTTTTGAGTTTTCCCTGTGGCCTTTCGATACTGATCTATTTGCATGTATAATTGAAATTGTGCTTTCTCGCTTACTGTCCTAGCTTTAGGAGTTTCCCGAGTTGCAGGCTAATCCTCAGAGCTTTCATTGATTGTGGTTGCATGATTCGCTGGATGAAATCATACTTTGCCTCGCCTCCTTCTGCTGACTGCTCAATAGCATTTGAATGAACATCTTCATGCATGCAACCTTCCCTCCTTCCTTCCTTTTTAAAAAACTAGTTTCCTCGAATCAACTCCCAGGACTAAGATTGTTGGGTCAAAGGGTATGGATGTTTTTGTGGTTCGAGAAACAACAGGCTGACAGATTGTTTCCTGAGGGGCTTGTGTTAATTTATGTTGCCACCAGCAGTAGGAGTTCAGGGTCCAGCACTGGTTAGCCCCGTTATTTTCAATCTTTGCTCATTTTAATAGGTATAAAATTGTGAACTGTGCAACTTTCTTATTAAGGTAGGAAGGGGAGTCGTTACTACACTGCTTTTAAAGGAAACTGAGATTAAAACGTTCAAAGGGTTGTTTTTAGAAATATTAAAACAAGATAAAATACATTTTTATTGGCGTTATAGCTAGAATAACTGTAGCAGTGGTCTCTGTTTTCTTTTATTTCTAATTTAAATGCGATTCTGTTTTCTTAGTGTGCAGGAGCCTAGCTATGCAGATAGTCTAAGCTTCTGGAGAAGAGAAGACTGGGAGCCCATGGGCTCTTTTCTGATGGGTAATGTGGAGAGGGAAGAGAGGCTTCATTCACTCTGACTCAAGGGGACAGATCCCATGTGTAGAAATCACAGGGAAACAGATGGTGGCCCCACTTTCTAATGGTTCGAGCTGCCCAGTAATGGAAGGAATTGTCTAGCAATCATGAGGTAGTGAGCTCCCCGTCCACAGGAGAATTCAAGCAGAGGCTGGAGCAGGGTTACGAGAGACAGGATTCCTGTGCTGAGCCGGGGGTTGGACCTGCATCCTGAGGTTCTCCTTTCTCCATGTCCTGCACTTAGGGGTTTTAATGATTTAATTTTTTTCTTCACCTGGTTTTTTATTGGTCTTGAATAGGGCAGTGAGACCTGGAGAATAGAGCAATTATTGCAGGGTGGTGGGAACAGAAACCAAGGTGTGTGGAGCTGGCGTAAGACTGGGCTCAATTTGTTCTTGGCAAGTTTGAGGATTTTTTTAAAAAACAGAATAAAAATGTGAGTTGGACTCATTGCTGGAGGCGGAGGGAAGGTGGAGATGGGTAGAAAGAGCTAAGTTTGTGCTGGGAGGTATTCTGGGGGGCAGAAAAAAGGACAGAGTCGGTGGAGGGTGAGAGTGGATTTTCAGAAAGGGCCGTGACTCTGAGTCTGACTCTGACTCTGACTCTGAGGAGCGCGGTTGGGAATGGGACGGTGGCTGCCTTCCCCGGAGCCATCTCCTGCCGTGGTCCATTTCACTTTTTATGTCCAAGGAGCCACCACTTCTCGTGGCTTCCAGGACAGGACCAGGGACAGAGCAGGCCAGCTGTTGGAGGGCAGGAGCAGCCAGTGGCCCCCGGATGTTGGAGGCTGTCCCAGCTCTGGGCTCAGATGGCGACCCCCTCCTCCTGGGCCCTTGGAATGACAGACTGACCCACCCGGAAGACCCAGGAAAGACCCCGCCCCACTGCTTCAGCCTTCGGTTGAGGAGACGGAGGCCCCTAGCAGGCGCACTGGACTTCTCAAGGGCAGATGCTGTGGGCAGCGTCTTGTCAGAGGTTTCTGTGGAGTCTGAGGTGACGAGATTTGAGGAGGGAAGGGGAGAAACTCCTGGTTTTCTGTTATTTGTGTCTGTGGCCCAAGGCAGCATCCAAGACGCTTTGCTCAGGGGTTTAGGGGCTGGGAAGTCTGCCTGGGTCTGTGGTTGGTGGCTGTGGGCTGGTTCAAGGCCATGGAGAGGAAGAGGCGTGGCTTGACGGCCACTGGCTGCTCCTGCCTGTTTCGGGGCATCTCCTGCCCGGCGGGGACTGTGACGGAGGGGTCTCCCCTGCAGAGGACGGTGAGGCCGTGAGCAGCTCCTACGAGTCTTACGATGAGGAGGAGAGCAGCAGGGGCAGGGCGGCCCCCCACCAGTGGCCCTCGCCCGAGGCCAGCATCGAGCTGATGCGTGACGCCCGCATCTGCGCCTTCCTGTGGCGCAAGAAGTGGCTGGGCCAGTGGGCCAAGCAGCTCTGCGTCATCAAGGACACGAGGCTCCTGGTCAGTCTCCTCCCTTCCCCCCATCCCGGGTGCGGGGCGTGGGGATGCTCCCCAATACCAGGCATTTAGAGCCTTTTACATCAGGAGGTTTTGCTTCTCCCCGGCCTGGAATTGCATGTAGAGCTCTGTGCAGGGATGGGCATGGTTTTTCTTAACTAGAAAGGGCTAGTTCTTTCCATCAGACTCTCAGTGGGGTCTGTGAGGACCATCCCTTTCTGTCTGGTCCCATCTGATGGATATTTTTCCCAGGGGTCTCTTTGTCCCCTGGGCTGTGGGCTCATTCTTCCTCACATCCCAGCCACTGGAGGTTTGGGGCAGAGCCTGCTGCCCACCCAGGGCTCCCCCAGCCCCCACCCCCAATGTGTCTGCTGCCTTCACATGCAGCCGAAGAATCACTGGTATCTCCTTAGAAGTTGGAAAATTCTGAATGACTGATAATGAGACCCATAAGAGAATCAAAAGATAGTATTCTGACCACAGCCCTGTTTCCTGTTATTTTAAATTAAAGTTGAGTTTTATGCCCTGATTTGAAGTTCCATGGAGTCATACACACCCTTTCTTCACTGATTCCAACCTGTCCTGCTGTGTAGAGAGATTTGTCAGGTGATT